TAAATGATTTAGATGATGAAAATGGAACGGACAGTGATGATGAACCACTACCAGATCTAGAAGATGTTCCTAAAGGTGAAGAACAACAAAAAAAGAATGAAGAAGAAACAAAACCAACATCAACAACTTAAAAATTATCAATAATTAAATTTCTTTTTTTGACAAATCGATCAATAGAGAACAATGCATATCTGTTTTTTTTGCTATTTCTTTTTCTGATGTTTTTACATCTATTACTGTCTAAAACTCAAATTCTTTTTCTAATTGAACTTAATCTTGCAAGTTCATTAATTTCTGAGAAGATAGTAAGCTAAGAAAAAAAAGGATGTACAGAGAAATCAATAGATAAGCATTGCTTCATGTATCTCGCTATGGAAAAAAGCTTTTAGAAAAGCTTAGTGCACATGTATGTTTTTTTCTTCGTTCTGTGTTTCTTTTTACTGTTGATCTTTTTATCTTTTATTTTGAATGTTCGATGCTCGTTACCAGTAATAGCCTTTTTTCTTATCTGTGTCATCCAATGTTGCCATAAAGAAAACAAATTCGTTTCTTTTGTTATCGACACAAATAAGAATGGCTGTAGATGGATAAAGTTGACGAATAAACTGAATCATTCCTTTTGATTCTTTCCACATTTATCTTTATCGATTTATATTAGTTTTTAGATTTTTGAGCAAGAAATGTCTGCAGAAAATGTTGACATCGAAGAAAAAATTGATAGTAATAGACCAGTTGGTTGTCGTTCTACTAACATACGAAAATTAACCGATGAAGAATATAATTGTTTATACTCAGAAGATGAGCAAAAAAAACAGATTGTTAGCACTTTTAAACAAAATCAATATGAAATTAATGCTCGAAAACATTGGGATCAATTTTATAAACGTAATACAACAAAATTTTTTAAAGATCGACATTGGACACTACAGGAATTTGAACAAGAATTTAATCCTAAAAATGAAGAAGAACGTCTCATCTTATTTGAAATTGGTTGTGGTAAGAAAACAATTATATTATGTCTATCCTTATGAAAACCTTTTACAACTTTGACCAGTTAAAAACTTACTTTAGTTAATTGATTTATTTTATTCTTTCATTCTAGGAACTGGCAATTTTATATTTCCATTAGTTGAACAGTTACCAAAACTTTATGTTTATGCATGTGATTTTTCATCACGCGCAATTCAATTAGTAAAATCAAATGAATATTATGATACAAAACGGATTTGTGCATTTGTATGTGATTTAACTGCCGATAACTGTTGTGATATATTTCATGAAAATATTCGTGAACAAGTAGATATTGTCTCGATGGTATTTGTTTTATCCGCAATTCATCCAGATAAAATGAAACAAGTATTAAATAATGTTTATAATGTAAGTTATTTGTATTGTATAATTTAAACGATGTTGAATTTATGTTTTTTCTTCTTTATATTCAGGTATTAAAACCGAATGGTTGTATTTTATTTCGTGATTATGGTTTACATGATTATGCTATGTTAAGATTTTCGAAACAACGTCAACATAAATTAGAGAATAATTTTTATGTAAGACAAGACGGTACAAGAGCTTATTTTTTTTCATTAAATTATATTGAAGAATTATTTCAATCATCTAATTTTGATATTTTGGAAAATTGTTATATTTTCAAAGATACAATAAATATCAAAGAAAATGTCTGTGTACCACGTGTGTTTGTACAAGGAAAATTTAGAAAAAAAACAATAAATTCACAGTTACCTTAAATTCTTTTTAACGAGATTTATAGAAATACTTCACATACTTAATGTTTAAAGAAGATGAGATGAATTGGCGTAGATTGTAGGTTTTTTTACTAGTGATGATATATTGTTCATTGCTCAGCACTTGCCTCTTTCGACGTCAATTTTGATCTATTACTAGTCAATATTGACTACAGTTCTATTATTAGAATGATTTATGTGAGCTACTGTTTTTGATGGGTTAATGAATTACTCACGGCAGTAATAGTTTTATGTCAGTACATAAAAACATTTTAAAATAATCGCTGGATCAATCATATGTTACATTTTAGTTGATCATTACCAACACATTTCATTATGTTTAAGAGACATGATCAATATTTGTAAACGTTCGCGAATTGACCGATTATTAATAATATGAGTTGTGAGAATTTGAGACGAATGAGCAATTGCGGATGGTTCATTTTTTTTTCTTGTTACTATCGTTTGATTCATATAATAAAACTATTTGAAGAGATTACTCAAACAAGACTTCTTAGACTATTGAAATGTGATTTGCAAAATAGACGGTAGTTTATTATATTGGAGAGCTATTTTAGCCTGAAATATTCATTTGTTTTGAGAGTTATAGGTGCACTGTGGAATGTTTGTAGAAAGTATGTCACACTGACTGCTGATAGCAGCTCTCAAATTTGATAGACAGTATATATTTTATTTCCTTTCCATCAAATGACTTTAGTCCTCAAATTGAAGTGATTACTTCATGCATTTTCTGGTTTTTGGTATCATTAGATTTTTGCCATAAGTACTGTTTCTGTCTTCGTCGTTTTTGAAATGATTTCGTCATTCTTTCTAATTTGCTAGCTATGTCTGTGATTGCCTTCTTTTGATAATAGAATATGTAAACATAATTAATTTTGAAAGCTCTTAAGAGATCATTGTTTGACAATAATTGCCTGTTAGTTTGAAAAAACATTACGTAGATGATATACAGTGGCAGCAAAAATTTTCCGTTCAGCTGATAAAAATCTTTTTTTACGTTGTATAAGTACGGATTAAATATGAAAACTACATCAGTCGATAGTACAGAGCACGAGCTACGTTTTGCTAAAAAAATAATTTTGAAAAGCTTTTTCCTTAGGGTGAAAACGCGACTTTAATCTTCATTATGTAGTCCAGTAGTTACTGTATAGGGGTATGAAAAGAGAAATTTAGACCTTTTAAGTTCAGAGGGAAAAACGGGTTTCTGAACCGGCTTTTCACCCATAAAAACATTTTCTATCAAAAACTAACGTCATGTTCGTGCTCAGCGTCAAAAACTGCGTTTAGTGATATGTTACTCGAAGTTTAGCAAAACGTTTTCATACGTAAAAATTTTCTAATTCTTCTAAAGAGCGTGAAAAATGAAAAAAGAAGTGACGTTAGAGGTATTGTCCTAAGTATCTGTAGCAAGCTCTCGTGGGATGATAATGTAAATAGGTTAAAAACTGGATTTCTGAAAAACCAGTGACCAAATTTTTGGGGTCTTTATTTCCATCCACTTTTGTCAACAAGATGAAAACAGGAGAAGAGGATGACCAATACATATGTTAGAATATTGGCAAAAAACAGAATTTTTTGTAAAACAGCAGTGGAATATCAATATTTAGATTGTAAAAATATTCGATTAAAACTAAACTGATACTTTTGCTCAATATAAAACTTCTGAAGTAAAAGTTTTTTGGAAACATAGTATACTGATTTCGTCTTTCTACACGAAGCAGGTACAAGAATAATTTAGCTATGTAAATAAAAATATCCTATTGATTTTAGTTTGAAGTAGTGTAAATTTGTATAATCGTTGTTGTACACTGTGATGCCGATAAAAAACATTTTGTACATTTTTATCAAAAATCAAAAATGTATGTAATCGTTTCTGAAAGATGTTTAGTAACAAGTTATTGTCAACCGTTTGAAAATTTGTTTCATCAATTTTTGTTTTTTGTAGAAAGGGAATATTGTGTGTAATTAAAAAGACTCTTAGACAACAATGCAGTTCTTACAGAGTATTTCTTCAGATGAAAGAAAGTGATTAGTTTCATTCATTAAAAAAAATTGTTTTTAGGGCAAAATCAATTTTTGGATATTATTCCATTCTTTTTTGATGGATATGAATAGGCATATTTTGCCGCCTAAACATTCTATGATTTGGGGATGTTACACTGTTTATACCATATTTTCTACCTATTATATTTATATAGAAAAAGGTACCTAATTGCTCAATATTATATTATTTATCTATAATTGTTTGCAATTGTATTTTAGTATTTAAAAATATTTATTTTATTTCATCTATATTTTATTTCACTCGATAATCTATTGATGCTAACTACAGAGAACTACTAAAGTGTTTTTAAATTGCCTCTCATTTTCAATCTATAGAATCACATTTTTTTTCTCATTTTTTTTTTTTTATAGTATACGAATAGATAGATTAAACAAAAATTTGATTAACAGAAGACAATTCAAGGTTGATCATTCTCTATTTTCAAAAGAAAAATTTTATATTTTATAAAATTTGTCAACGTGACATCATTTTAAAAAGAAAAAAAAATATTATGTATATATGTTTTTTTTTCTCTCCAGGTAACGAAAAACTACTATTATTTTTGTTTTCTTTATTTTGTTTTTTTTTTTTCTTCATAAATTAAATCTTATAACATAAGTATTTTTTAAGTATAACCATGTTTGATTAAAAAACATAAAATAAAAAAGTAGACCATATGAAATGTGTTTTATTTGTCAAGGACACTATTCCGAATGTTTCTGAAGAAGAAAAAAGTAAAAAGAAAAAAGAAAAAAATAGAAAATTTATTCTATCGTTAATAGGATATTATGAAGAAACAGTAAAGTTGTTTATTGAAGTCATGGTGGCTCAATTCAAACTAGTGAGTTTTGGCTTTGTCGTTACAATATGACTAAAAGTAGAATGAAAAAAATATTGTACAATAGTGAAAAAGTAAGGTTGTGTAATAAAAAAAAAGTAAAATTAAATCTTCTATATATGATCTTTTAAGGATGACTCACGTTTGAGTTTATCTAAATTTTTTCTCATAGAAGTGGAAAAGTTTTTTTTTTGAAATAATTAATATGTGATCAAAATGACAAAGATGTACTTATTTCATATATTTTTGGACTTTTTATAAACACAAATTCATTGGATGAAAGTTTCACACATCTTTTCCATCTGACCACCTATTACTTCTAGAATCCATTTTTAAGTAAATTTATAGATACAGAGCAAATCTCTTATATGATAACGAGTATAAAATCGCTGGTCTTTTTTCCTCTAGTAAAGCTTGTTCACAAAGTTTTTGTTTTTTATGCTAGAAAATAGAAAATTTTCTTTTTTTTTTGTTATATGTTTATTATTAAAATTAGTTTTTATCGCTGTTTTATATCGTTAAAAATACTGGAAGTCAAAAAATCATCTATTGTTCTGTGTTGTGGTAGAATTTCTAGCTGTTAAATAATTTTGATGCGCAATTGAAACGCGATATTGAGAACTTGAGTAAGGTCTTCATTTTATCGTACACAAAGTGACCTTTGAAGCTTGACAACTAAAACTTGTGTATAAAATGTATCAGCTTTTTACTTGCTAAGTAAAAAAATGGCCACTTCGACATTTGTTATCAAGGTAAGTCAATGCGTGGGAAGAACGACAAATTGTAGGGTTTAGAGTACTGCATCTGTTGATTCTCGGATGTCAAGATTTAAAGTTTGAAAAGAAAATAATAATGCATAGAGACTGCAGATATCGTTTTGAGTTTTTTAAATTTTATAAAGTACATATGAATAAACATGGCGCACACAAAAAAAATGTTACACATTTTATTAATAGAACCAACTTTTAAACTAAATTTAATGAACGAAAATTTGCTTTTAAAACTGTATTAAGCTTGTAAATATTTTGTCTTTTAGTAACTTTGACGTGTTATCTTTTAATAGAAAAATGAAATTGTTTTAACCAAGATAAAAAATAATCCTTTTTTTTGTAATTCTAAATTAAATACGTGTCAACAGAAAAAAGAGAGAGGGACGTGTCTATTACTCATGTGTTGCCAAGTCTTGAGTCATCGATTACACTGATGGTTGTCAATAGACCTTTTCCGTTATTCTAAGGAAGAAAAAAAATTTTTATTTTTCTGTCTCCTTATTAGGACATGTTTGACATCATTTCGGCTCTATTACCTTTTTTTATACATAGCAGAAAGAAGAGAAAATTATCGATAGAGAAGTAAAACCATTTTGTATTGCGAAATAGACAATATCTAAAAAATCTGTTTAATTAAGCGTCGTCATTAAGTGAATAATTGTATCATTTATTTTTAAGGGTTATTGTGTTTCGAATCTAGTACGAAACCGGTTACTTATCAACTTTTTTTATATTTTTATCTTTTGTTCACATGTATATATAGGCACTATAGCTATATATAAATATATTAGAAATATATATCTATATTTCTATATTTCTATATGACTCATAAGTGTCTCTATTAAACATGATGTCAGGATATAATGGGAGAGAAAGAGAAAAATATATAGAAGAAAAAAAAAAGTATTTTGTTTCTACAATAAAAGCCAGACGCATAAACGATCTATCAAGTGATTGATGTTTATCTGAGTATAACAGCAATAAAAAGTACCATACAGTATATCACAAAATTATTGATAGATAATGTATAAAGACATATAAGAACAACTGTAAAATTATAAGGTACTGTCGTTTAATTAGAGCTTGGAGATTTCTATGTGTATATGTGGGATAATTTCTAAAAAATGTTCAATTTTTTTGAATCTCTATCTGACTTTGTACAAATCACTTTTCTTGGAAGATTCTTTAGAAACCATTAGCCATTTTAAGACAATTACAATCTCTCAAGCTTCAAATTGACAAGAGAGATAAATGAGAATGTAGCAAAAATTAGTTGCTATAAGCATAGTCAGTTTTGGTTTCTTTTAGTATATCTATCTTATCCATCAAAATCATTTATCCATTCTACCAAGGAATTAAATCTTTCCTATTTCTTTGTTTATTTCCATATTCTACGACGTTTATAATACGAAAATATTTACTTGTCGGTTTAAATCCCTTAAGTTTTGTTTTCTCCTTGATGCGTTTGAATATATAATATTGACGTTCCTTTTCGTTATTTCCGCCCCTCTTCCTCCCTCTCCTTCTCTCAATCATCCACAAAAGCGTGCATATACTTAATAAAAAGAGAAAAAAATTTGTTGTGTGTTGATTTTTAGCGTTAGTTTCAGGTTTCAGGTGAACTTGGTCCTCATTTCTTTTTATTATCTTTTATGTTTCATAAAATTTTTTTTTGTTTTGTTCTAGATACGGTTTCTTTCTACGTAAAGGTTGAGTTCAGTCCATAAATCTTCTCATTCACTTGACAACATACGCCGTGTTCGCGAGAAAAAAAAAACGCAAAAACACACCGCCGCATCACATTATTCAAGAAAAAAAAAGATATAATTTCCTTTGCTTTTTTTTGTCATACTATTATTATTAGTTGAAAAAGAGCATGTTCTTTTGTGAAGAAGAGAATCCAAATAATGTCGGAGAACAACAACAACAACAACAACTACAACAGCCAGGAACCGAACAACAATCTATGCTTGACAACGACAATTTCGAACTTGGACAATCAGCACCATTCGATTTTGATTCGCTCGGACTCGACAACGTCGACGATTTTGATAGCGGACGAGGAGATCAACAACAATACTCAACTACCCAACGAACGAACGATCAGTCTACTTTTACGTGGACTGATGAAGACCAGTGGCCGATTTAATATTGGTAAGTGATAATTTATTTTAATAAGTTAATTTAGAATGTTTTTATATTACGTTATTATTCTATTTAGATCTTGAATCAGATAAATTTAATGAATTATTTTCCAACACATCATTTAATTTACATCGTCTATTAAGTACATGCCAAGATGATGTTAATTTAGATGATTTACCCAATTTTAGTTCACTTAAATCACTTCTTTCAATCGAACCTGGGGTATGTGTATGGATTTATATTTAATCCGCACGACTTTCTAATTTTCGCGTTTGGCTTTGATTTAGTCACCTCATATATTAAATTAGACCTTTTTTCTTGTATACTATGAACAATCTCTATTATACCATTTGTTTTGTATTTCATTTCAGACTGACTCTATCACAATTGATCAACTGATTTCATTGACAAATATAAATGAAGTTGGACAGCCATGTCCATCGTCCTCTTGCGTTTCAGCTATTGACGGTGATCATCATATTTCACAAACTCGTAAAACGCCATCACCTGACTTAATTACCGACTTTTTTCCGCCATCATCGGATCCACAATACAATGATTATCAGTTAAAAATTGAACCTCATTCTTATATGTGTCAACCCACTTATGCCCAATTGAATACGCTTGAATCAATTAGAATTGATGAATCACCTCAACTACTTCCACCACCGCCACCACCTACCTCTCTTGCTTGTCAACCTCAACATTTTTCGTTTGATGCTGCTGCTTTGGCAGCCATTGAACATGATCATGCATTTATGACAAAAAAAATAACAGAATCACCATCAAAAAAACGTTATCGTTCCCGTACACGTACACGATATGAATCAACATCCTCACTTGGCTCAAATTCACTTCAAACATCATCTTATAACAATAATAATAACAATAGCAATGATGATTCTTCATCATGTTTTAATACGCCTAATTTGCTACCAGCAACAACAGCATCGTCGTCAGATACATGTACGACACCAAGGACTAAACGTTCGCGTACATCTCATATTGTAAATCGTGCTGATGATGTTAAAACTGAAGATGATTTGAGTTATTATTTGGAACGTCGACGACGCAACAATATGGCTTCAAAAAATTCACGTGCAGCTCGAAAACAAAAATTTGGTGATATGGATTATAAATGTGATGAATATAAAAAATTAAACGAAGATTTAAGAATAAAAATTTCAACATTAGAAACGGTTACAGCCAGATTAAAAGATGGATTAGTACAAAGTTTTCAAACAGCCAAAATTAAAAAAACATGACATCATCAACAACACATTATAATGACTGTTTATGTATTTCCATTCTTGTTTTTGCGCGTACAAATGAGATTATGTGGGGCTTAAAAATTCGAATACTTGTTTCTAGTTTAATTGAGCAAGGGTGAGTTCTACGGGTATAGTAGAATGGTGTTTTCTTTCTTTTATTTTCAAAGATATTCGAGAATATTGTATTTGTCGTAATATCAATATACAGTATTCAGTTAAGTAATATCTCCTGCAACTCTTTTACTTCTTTTTCTCGTTTTTTTACGTGACTATTTCTGATTGTGATATATACTCTTTTCATATTTAAACGTTAGTTTAAATGAATATTAGCACATATATTTTCTTCTTTGTTTATTTTTGCGTGTGTACAGTGTAGTCTAAAGTGAACAAAAAAACAAAAAATTTGTAAAAAGTTATTTTAAAACTAAAAAAGTAGAAAAGTAGATAAAAGTATTTAAAAAAAATATATTTGCTCTTTTTATTTTATTACTTTCTAAAATTTGAAGGATATGATGTACTAAGCGAAGTAAACTGCTGTGCGGTGATTGAATACTTCGTTTTTCTTTTCTTTTGTGTATATCAATCAAGATGTCAATACCTGTTTCTTCTTTTACTTTTAGAAAATCTACTATATTTCAGTTTATTTATATAGTCGAGGGATTTTTATTACCGGTGATAAGATAGTTTTCACTTTTCTTGACCGTTTGTGCTAGTCGAGTGCTTTTTCTTGCAGTGATTTCTAAATAAAATGATCCTCCCATTTTAACGGGAACGATGTTCTATGCGCTTTTTATCACATTTTTCATTTGATTTTTTTTTTACTGCAAATAAAAGCCATCTTGTTTTTGTTGCTTTTAACTAGGAGAAAATCTTTGTCTACTTGTTTAATATTTTATTTTTGACATTGTTTCTATGTGTCTGTTTTAAAAATATTCTTGTTGGTGAAGCCGTTTTACTTACATACCGTATATTTAATTTTTATCTTAACTAAATGTGTTTGGTTATTTTATTATTTATTCTTTCTGATTTTAGTTAAATACGGTACATAAGTCCTATCATTTTTCTGTGATAAAACGCAACAAAAAGAAAGAAGAATTAATTATTCATTTATTGTTGTTGTATAGTTTTAATATTTGGTACTCATTAATCCTCTTTGTGTACTTTGATGCAATCGTACGACGTATTTGTATTTGGGAATAACAAAATAAAAAAGATGCAATTAATATGTGCTGTTATGATCGATATTTTGTCAGGTTATTCAATAACGTCTAGTGATATGATATTATTTGATAAAATAAAACTCTGTCTATAATGAGCGAAAAAAATAACTGAATTTGAGACTATTTTATGCACATCTCTTCATTCATAAACATTCTATATTCATTTCAAAAGGAAACTTTATATTTTAATGATGATGTACGATATTGAATCCAAATATAAGAATAGTTCTCGATTTTTCATAAAATTCCGTTTAACCGTATATTATTGATGAACCAAAAAAAGATAATCCAAAAAAAGATAGAAAAAAAAATCTCTCATTTATCGACAATACAGAGTGAGATACTGTTGACTATTCAGATCGGCTTTGAATGTGGGCTGATTTATTTGCTCATGTTACAGATGAAAAATAGTTGTGACAAATCTAACATAAGGTCTGATTAGAAGCTGCTAAACACGTCATTTTTGTTGCTATAAGTTACAAAAACAACAAGAGAGAAAGCGACAGTTTTTCACAATTATTATCGTTTAACACGGAAAAGTCTGATGATAAACTATCATCAGATACAATAACTATGGATGGTTAACTTGTTACAGTATTAAAAGAAAACATATCTAATCAATATTTAGACAAATGGCAATTTGTTTCGATCAAATATAAAATACAATATAAAAAAGCTTGAATAAACAATCAAGGGTGCATGTTGTCCGAGTTTTTATGCTCATTTGAGCACTCTTCATACATCGATGTCAAGCCACGCAGAATATCAGTTTTGCTCTGCTCAGATAATTCTTTCTCTCATATCAACTATGACATAGCATCATGTTACTATGACGCTTAGTAAAGTGAGTGAGACTGAAGCATCTCTGTAAATGCAGCTGTGATAGTCTATAGAATCTGCTGTCTGTAGAACATTTACATACATCAGAAATTGAGAAAAACGAGTAAAATGGTGAAAAATGCATCATTCGATAGCGTATTTCTTCGAGAATATGACAGTGTGCGAGAGTAGATGGTTAACCAATGATGGCTTTAATATGATCAAGTTTTTTAATTAAAATTAAAATTATGAACGAAAGCGCAATACATTCGCTCTTTTAGTTGCACGTCTGCTTGTCGTATAATCGAATATCTTGTTTTTCTTTGACCTAAATTGGTATTACACGAATAAATCACTCTGATATTTACATTGTATAATGATCAATGATTAAATCAGTTCATTGATCCAAAAATATCTTTGCTTATTTTTTTATGTAAGCCCTAAGGAACTTGAGATAGAACACGGGAATCAGATTCGCTACTCAGATCATCATTGGGACAATTGATGTATTATGAAAAAGTGTCTAATTTCCACCATATTCCTAGATGTTTGATCCCAGAGAGCATCAAATAAGCTATACAAATATTTATAATAAATGTCGTTTAATTCTCATTTCTTTTTTTGCTAGAATAATATTTGTACTCATACGCAATTTGTGAACAAAATACTATTTAAACACTACCAACAATAACAATGAAAGTTTGCGTGACAAATCCAAAGGGAATTCATTTTCTGTCAAAAAGTTCTTCTGTTAATTACTTATTTTTAATATACACATATCTCTAGTCTATATGACTATTTTATTTTTTGTGTACATAAAACATATACATACATAAAATATTATATTAAGCCAAATTTTCAAAACTATTACTCTTAAAAGGGCAAAGTATGAGTATGAATAGATTTATAATATCAATTTTATTACAAATACTAGAAAAGAAGAAATAACAGATGACATTTGGAAAAACATTTGGCATATTACAATCACTAATGATTAAGTGATATCAAGTTTTCAGTCACTAAGTGACTATTATTCAAGACACAAGAAAACATCCCCTTTTTGACCATTAATCTTTATTGAAAAAAAAATCTTATTAAACTGCCTCTATTTTCATTTTACGTTATGCTACTATTAGAAAATTTTTGTTCCTTTACAGTTCATAATGATCCTCTATGTGATATAAAATATGTTTTATACATACATGTTGAACTCAATGATCTTTTCCCTTTTGTTTTGTTCTGTAGATAACACTGTGTACATGTTGTCGTTCGGCCACTGTATCGTCTATATTGAACAGAAAGAGTGATAGATGAGAAATGAAATCAAAATTGTACTGATTTTCAGTGATAATTATATGGATGTAATTCTTACTCTAGAGTATTTTGCCTCTGTTAATGATTTTACATTGAATAGTCTATGTTATTTAAGTTTCACTCTTTCTGTATGAGTCTAAGAGATATAGATCTTTGTTTCTCTTTCTCTATTCTTTTCATTTTTTTCCATTTGGACTACTCTTTCTCATATTTTGTCGATAAAGGTTAGTTTCACTTTTCTAATGTACAATATATATATATCTATCTACTCACTGTACATCTATATATCTACGATAGAAATGAATGAGGGAAGAAATATATCTAGTATATCTATGACTAAATTCATGCATCATCTTTGCATCTGTCTAAAACATCTGATCATAAAACGAAAGAGAAGAAAAAATACTCAATATACCATTAAACAACAAATTAGTTCTTAGAAAACTTTTTTAATTCTCATATGAATCGTTCTCATTTGTGAATAATTATAAAAATTCAATTTATTGTTTAATATGACAGTATTTTCTGTATACATTTTTTTAAATAACATTAAGAAATCGTTAGATACTCTTTCGATATTGTTTAGTTAAAAACGTTGGGTAAATAAAGGTTTCTCTGAATGATTACTTTCTCTCCCTTTATCCTTCAAAAATCGCATTTTTTTTCTTCAAAATTGCATTATACATATCAACGTGTAGTCTCTGTTTCTCTTTTATGCATGAAGATTTTTTTTTTTTTTTTGTCGAAAGTGATAAGACGAACAATGTTATGTATTTTATTTTAGACAAGTTCTATTTTTATTTATGGATGCTATTGATTTACATATAAGTTCAACGTCCTATCCACCGTTTTTACAAGATTTTCAATCTGATCCTTGTCAAGTATGCTCTGAACAATCTTCAGGATGGCATTGTGGTGCTGTTACATGCGAAGCGTGTAAAGTAAATGATATTTTTTTATCATATCAATTATTATATTATTTTTTATTTATATATTTAGAAATTTTTTCTTCGATCAATAAATGAAGAATATTTAAAATATAAATGTGTTAGAGATAAAAAATGCCTTATTACCAGAAGTACAAGAACACAATGTCAATATTGTAGATATCAAAAATGTATTCAAGTTGGAATGAAAATAAATGGTATAATAATTATTTTTATTTTAATAGTTTAAATTAATTATTGTTAATGTTTGTTTTTTTTTAGAAGAAAATCAAAATTCAAAAATTGAAGATATTTTTAAGCAAATTCCGTGTTCCTGTTGTACGGCTCCATCATCGGGTATTCATTTTGGTGCTGTGAGTATTCTCTTTTTATGATGTTATTATCATTAACTTTCTCATTAATCATTTTGAACTATTTTTTTTTTGTAGATGACTTGTGAAGGATGTAAGGGATTCTTTCGACGGACAATGAAAGAACGTACATCTCAACGTTATACATGTTTGGAATCGAATAATTGTGAGATTAATACATCAACAAGAAATATATGTCGTGCTTGTCGATTTCAAAAATGTATCAATGCTGGAATGAGTATTGAAGGTAGTCGAATTGGTCGACAAAGTAATTTATTCAAACAAAAAATGTTAAGTATGCAGAAAACGGGCAATATTCCATCATCATTACTCAATGCTCTCACAAATAATGATTATGGTATGAGAACGTTTGGAAATAATTTGAGATATAACAAAACGATAGATAAATCCGTTTCAATAGGTAAGTTAGTTTAAAAAGATGCTGTGTATGTATGACAAACATTACAGTTAAACTTTTCAAATCTTATTCAGTTAATATGGAAGAGAAACTTGAACCACATGTTAGATCTTTAATATCAATTATTGAAGAAGCTTATTGCAACAATATTAAAGTATAGTAACTACTTTTAAGGTATTAAGAAAATTTTCTTAACTAATCATTTTTTTAGGAAATTCCTTCGTGTATAGACAAAATGAATATTTGGGATACGTGCATTAGTCAATTGGAAGAGTATGCAAAACGAATTATGAATTTTTCAACAGAAATACCAGGTAGACGATGTTCCGTACTTTGAATCAATCATTCTTATTATTTAATCGCTTTTTATTGTTATTTTGAATAGGATTTTCAACATTTGCTCATAGCGATCATCTACTATTAATTCGATCATCTGTTCATTCTGTTATATTATTATGTTTATGTACTCAAGCATTACAATATCATTCTCAACATCTTCTTTATTCGCGTGATTATCAAAGACAGTCTGATCAACAATACCATCTTAATTTAATAAATAATAATAATAATAATAACCAAATAGATTGGAATTATTTTAATGCTCATGAATCTGATCTATGTGAACGATTACAAATAAATTTTAGTGTATTTTTTGAAATTAAACGAATTATGTTTCATTCAATTGAAAATGAATTAGAACATTTAGAGTTAGATGATAAAGAATTATCATTAACACTTGCTCTACTCATTACATCAACAGGTAAAACAGTATTTTAGTGTTTTAATTAATTTGTTCATATCTATATTTTCTTTTATTTTTTTAGTGAATTCAAAATTAATTGATCAAAAGAAAATTGAACAACTTCAAGTCGATTTGTTTTGTGCATTAGCCGATTATATGGATGGTAAGAAATACCACTTATAGATTGTTTATTCGTTAAAAACTGATAAAATTATTAATATAGTGTTAATTCGATTTTAAGAAATATTCATTTTTCATCTTTTTCTTTACAGCAAAACGTGGCACAAATAATAAAGATTATTATGTTTTAACAATTCAAATTCCCATTATTCGTCGTATAAACAGTATTATTGCTTCGTCAATTTATCATCTGAACAGTGTATGTCCTCAACCGTTTCGTATACCAAAATTTTTCTTACAAGACGATTTGTTAGATCAAAATAGATTAGAACATAACCATGATGTAAGTTATTCAAAATACGTCCGGCGATAACGTATATTTTATACATTTTTTTTTTCGATTTTAGAATTTTTTATTTTAATATTGAATGATCAAGTGTTACAGGCTTTATGATTTCAACAATATTAGTCGAGTTTAATGAAGTATCTGTGATCAAATAGAAGAGTTCATCATCCATGTCTGAACAATTATATACTGATGGAAAGATCGAAAAGTTTTTTTTCTATTGTCGTTTATATATCTCATTGTGAAATAATGTTGTTGATATCGAGCTATATTCTCTTTCTCTGTGAAATTATTTGTATGTTTCTTGCCACATAAATATCCGTAAATGAAATATTCTATTTTGGATCTCAACCGATGAAAATGCGTAAAAAAGCATGGAGAAAATCTCGATTTGCATGGATTCGGTAGAAGTAGTGATCAAGTTGAAATATAAAGAACACTCACACAACACATTTCGTGTGCTAGTCTATACTTCACTTATGACTCAAAAGTATATACACATTCATCCGAAACTCTCTACCCTATCGCTAAAGTGGAAGTGTACAACTTTCTCTATCAGGTAAAAATACTTTTTGTCATCGATAATTTAAAGTGATAATGATTGCATTTATTTTGTTGATCACTACAAGGATTATCTATCAACATAGGTTGAATATGTTATTTTTGTTCATTTTTGTGCTTCACTGTAGTTCAGGAGAAGTCGCTGAAGCTTCTCTTTATCATCACTGAATTATAGAGCACAATTCTTTCAAATTATAAAGGACACGGGTGGTTAAGCTAGAAAAATTTTCCCCAATATTTTTAACTTTTTTCTATCAGAAACGTAGCAAGAGATTACTAGAAATATCTCCTACGACTTAGTTTCTTGAAACTTTGATACGAGGTTTTTGACCACTTTGGGAGATCCCAGGAGTTTTGGGTAAATTTTTGTTTCGGATTTTCCTAAAACCACATGATCTAGGAGAAGAGTTTTATGCTGATCACAAATATTGCTTATAAAGTTAAAAACAGTTGCATCTTCATAGAGAAAATCGATTTTTAGTGAATAGTGGTACCATGTCATCATCTATTGACTTTGGGTTAATATAGAAGAAACAGTAATCAAATAGGGCTGTGCCCACTGCATGACACTGCGAATCAAGTTCACAGTCGATGTAGTTTCTGATGTTCTGTCAACTGAGGTACAGTGTGCGTTTTCCCATAGGCCAGCGCGGACGTTTGTTATAGAAGCAATCGGACAGCCTACGAACACTTTTTTTATAGGTTTTCAGATATGCTCTTTCCAATGGTGTGCTTTACAAAGTTCAAAGAGACTTTCACCTGCGTTGCACACATAAGTCTTCTGAAACTTTATAAAGGACACCATTAGAAAGAGCATATCTGAAAACCTATAAAAAAGACGTTTGTAGGCTTTCGGATTGCTTCTATAGCATATATCAAAATCCTCGGCCAAAATTGTCATGCTATGCTTTGACTCTAGCGTTTCGTTAGATTCAACAAGTTTTTGCTCAGAAAAATCTACTAGTTGCGCATCATTCGATGCAGTTTTTTGCGCTGGTTTCGAATATCTTATTTTTATTCAATAAAAATCTTTCCGAACCGAAATAATTGGAAAATACCGCAAAAGGCAAGGTGTTTTTGAAAACTCAGTATCTGACTGCGAACTTTTTTCTATATACTAAATCATATGGAAATTCATAATTTAAAGTCCATTTGCTTATATCAGTTGTCGTTTTTGGTAAACTTAATTTTTTCACCGATCTTACCACTTACAGGCTAACTTTTGCAAGTCTGTTTTCTCCGTACCCGTGAACTTTTTAACACACTTTTTGTACCATAGGATAAGAGCATGTCTTGAAGTATACTGTTCACTATTTGAATCGGTTACAAGTCGCTTTCTAATTTTTCGCCTAATGTCCATCTGGATACACACTATGTAAGTCTGCCAGAATAATGAAAAAAAGTGTGCGTCATTATCAGAGAATGAGCAGATTTTAAGTGGTATTGATCGATTTCAATGCGAAGACAGAAACTGATGATAAAATTAACACGATATTTCAGAATCTGCATCAAAAATGGAGTTAGACGTGGTGTATTGCGCACGAATACACCTCCGAAACTTCAATTTCCGACCTAAAAATTCTTCTTTGGTCTCTTTGAAGAAAATAGAAAAATAATTTTTTTGTTCGTACCTTCTCTTGTACCTTATCATGTAAATAATGAAACTGTTTTTCTTATTATTATTTTCATGAAAAATTTGATAAAATACAAGCCTTAATTTTTGTGTCTAAATTATTTTGACCGCCGTTGCTGAATTTATCTTTTTGCAAACAAAAACTTTAAGATCTAGGCGTGTTTTGTCAAATTTTCCATCAAAGCACTTCAGTATACTTCATCTCTACGTCATAATATTTAAAATATGACGGGTAATAATGGAACATCAGCACAACTCAAAAAACTAGTTAAAGGTTTTGTCCAGATCTATCAGTTAATTCACAAATCAAAAGTGTTCCTAAATACAAACAACAGTCAATCTGACGTTTGTTCGAACTTTATTTCCTTATTTTGAAATGTATGCTGTTAAAGTTAATAATCATATGTATTCATATGTTATAGTCTATAGAGCAGTCGGAATTATGAGTACCATACTTCAGTTGTCATCGTGCAAGATTGTTAACATAATATGACTCACAGTGTTTATTACCTTCAGTTTGTTCTGTTTATATAGCATGTCGATGTATGTTTTGGACACATTATTTAAAAAATTAGATAACATTAAAAATAATTAAAACTGATGGTCGAATTTATAAATCGTTTTCGATGATCGATTATCTTTATTGAATAATGAATAGAAATTAGATAAAGTTTGAAATGATTTTACTGATTATTTTAAACAATTATAGTAGATATTAATACCGTGTAACGGATAATTATGTAATAAATTTGACTTTTCTGTATGAGATTGATACAACTAAATCATTAATGTGAAGGTACATGTGTTCTGATCTTATCAGCAAATAATGATCATAAAAGTTTTCATAGCTATATAAAACAAGATTAAAAAATGTGAAATAAACTATCATTATCATCATGAACATATACTGAAAAGCACTAATTAACATAGACTGAACAAAATTCAACAACACTCGCATTTAATTTAGGTATAAAATTATATTCACTGAATAAATTCGCTTGAAAAATTACAAATATTACAAGCGAGCGTCTTTAGTATTATCGTGCGGTCAAAAAATCCAGAAGTGAATATTTCATTATGATATCAGTTAATTTATTCCATCGTATGAAATTTATAGAAATCATTTTTAGAGTTGTTAAATATTTCTCGTTTTGTACCAAGAATAATGTATTTGTATCGTTCTACTCTAAAAGAATACGCTGGCACTAATGCTATTACACTCAATATAACATGAGAAGCTCATTCTTTTTCATAATCAATTGGTGAACGCCGTACAAAGATTAACCAAAAAAGGGTTAGACATGCATGCATTATCAAAAGAGAAGCTGTAGTATGCATGTTGATCTGTGAAGAATTCAAACGTAGTTTTATTAATAATGTATTCAATGCTCGTTCTCGATGTTTGTGTATTTTACAAACTTACGGTGCTCATTCATCCCCTTTTCCCGTAACTTTCACTCTTTTAGTTATCTTAATCAACTCTTTGAAGTAATTGTATGACTATTGTAAGATATGTTAGTAATAGGGTGTCCACTAAAATATCTTAAACCTAGTGACACATGTGTTATACGTTTAAAAATCAAAACCCGTATTAAAAAAAGATAATGAACATGTCTGATTGACAATTGACACATTTTTCTCTTTCTAAAATCAAAACTTCAACTATAACCATTTTTACTATACTATGTATTGTCTAATGAATAGGAAGTAAATTCAGAATTGGCAGCAATTTACAGTCAGTGAGTGTTAAAAAAAGAAAAAAAAGAACGCTCTAATTTTTTCTTGAAATTAAGGATAATTGCTATCATCCGTTAAACTTTTTGTAATTTTCTTTTTTGTTATCAGTGATAATGAATCACGTTTTATGAAGAAAAACACTAAAAAATTTTGGTTTCATGTTTAAAGAAGAAAAAAATGCGCTTCATCATTTCAGTTGAAAATTCTATTTTTATCAAATTTTTCTTTGTCAGGAAGTTCATCATGTCAGAATGCTGCCGGAACCGATTATCTATAATTATTATCGACGATTTGGCTTAAAAAAGAAAAAAGAGGAGACAATAACGACAAAAGTATGTGAACAAATATTTTCGGAAATTTTTTTAGACAATAACGATAAATTTTTGCTTTAACGATTTTTATAATTGCGGATAAATACAATATTTTTGTGATCTAGCTTATTTGGTCAAGTTGTCACCATAACCACAGTATGAACATTGTGAAATGGAAGTGAAGAATTTGACGTGTTTCACATTTGTGTACAACATAATTAGTAAAAAAATTGAAGATTTTTTTGTTTTAAATTGAAGGATTTTTTTGAATCTCGCCGCATCCTCATGATCATTGAAGTATATTAAGAATTCATTAGCCTTCTCCTCTGCGTAAGAATGATTTTCAACTGAAACATATTTGAAAAATGTATCTGCAGAAAACTTTTATAGATGAGAATTTATAATCAGAAACTGAAACGAATCGAGTCAGGATTCAATATTTAAAAAATGAGTGTTAGTGGTTAACTTTTGACGCTAGATGCTAAGTATGCATCTGAATAGTATTCGATATTGGTTATATGTATGTAAAATATGTGTGTATTATATTTTAATTCTGAACTGTTAGTGAGTGTGAATGTATTTTATCAATACTCTTGTTTTGTGTCTTTATACTTGGAATTTTCATGAGGATAAACGAAATTTGTCGAAAAATGATGAAATTTTTATTACCGAATCAATGAAAAATTTCTGCTTTTGAATCGGATGTGAATCAGGTACGATTGATCAGTTTCGGCCTCTGCTACTAACTATAGACACCTATTTACAGTATTTATGTTTTTTCCCATTTGACAAGTAACTGGACTACATATCTTAGATGAATTAGCAAAATTATTT